AGTATTGGAGGAATCAGATCAAGGTGCTAACTCTATTTGTGCTTGCCATCCACAGACAAAAAGTCTGACCTCTCTCCAACGGGTGAAGAGTGGGGGGTGGATGCTAACACCATCAGTAAGCTTAAAGAGGAGTACAAAAAATCGCGCAAGGACAAGAAATTTGTTCAACGTAAGTCAGGCACATTGTCCTTGTTACTTCAAGCAGTACATAGACCCCATTTGCATCATTTCATACATATTCAAGCAGTAGTTTCAGCTGGTTGCTATTTAGTCAAAGTTTCCTTCATTCACTCCGTCGATTGTTGGGATGATTGTAATTTAGTTTCCCTTTCATTCATCTCTGTTTTTTTTTTTCTTTTTTTTGCGCTTGACTGTATATTGGTCAGTTTTGATGCTGTTGTTGGAAGTGTAACTTGCACTGAAACTGAACATGAATTTGTGCCGGATGCAGATGTCATTCATTGGACACATTCAGTTTTCATACCATTCTGTGCTTCAATCATTGCCTGCACCATTTAGTTTGGAAAAAAAAACTGCCAAGTTGATTAGCCCGCTTGTGGGGCAGAGTGTATGAAAGGGCCTACAGTAGCATGTAATCTACTGATATGTGTACATGTATCTTGTGCCATGTAATCTGCTTCTGTCATGTGTGTCTGGGAAAACTGAACCAGTGCATGGTTTATGTATGTGCATGTACAGGTCAAAATATTGGAAATCAGATTTCAACTGAAGTACTGTAGCCTTTATCATCCCTGCAGCTTTCAGCTCGTCGTACAGTGAAAGATTTGTGGCTTTTAATGGAAGCCACTGTTGCCAGTGCTGCACTAAATCTTTTGGGCAAAATGGATTTTTTTTGGTGCATGCGTATAATACGGTATATTCTGGACCTACCAGAGTTTTTTATCATTGTATACCTATCTAGTGTCACTGTTTTCTTCTGAAGTTAAAAAAGTGTTGTCAGAGAAAATAAGCTTCGAAAGATTTGCTACCATTTGTTCAGGTTTCTAGTATGAAATTGTGATACTGCTTTCAAGTATTGTAAAGTAAAACTGTTGCCAAAACATTTCATATTGCATGCAGAAGTTAAAAGGCATTGAAATCTGGCTTTTGATTTTTTGGACCCAAGCTCAGCAACATTCTGACCTTGCGTGAATTTTTAACATTTTTCCTTTTGCAAGGCATCAGTCAGTAATCTTACATGTTCGTGTAATTGTGCTGTCAGTTCATTTACTGTCATTCACTTTGCCATCTGCCATCCTTAAATTATTCACAATTTTGAGATCTTTCCTCTTAATTTTAATATTGGTTGGTTCATTGTCAGGTTATGTCAAATGCCTCGAGTAAGCTGAGGTTCATTACATATACAGCAGGCATGCAACTCTTCCGTGGATCTGCGGATTTCCGCGTGTTTAAAAATTGAACCACAAAACATTCCACGTCAGGCTTTGTCCGCACTTTCGCCACTTTCTTGCGCCTCGGATTGTGGCGCGGCAGACACGCAGAGGCGGCGGTGCCACTCAGCAGAAACTTGTGCTTCCACACAGAAAAAAGGGATAAACATTGTCAGCTGGTTCTGTGCTAGTGTATGAGAAGAAACTGTTAAATGAGCAAGACACCTGACTTTGCTCCATTCTTGATTATCAAAGCGCCCTCTGTTCTGGTGGATAGCCTGGCTCCGTATCCTTTCCCTGTCGACTTACACGTTGCAAAGTCAGGATACAGACTGCATGTGCTGCTGCTCTGTGCCATGTACATGTACGTGTCAGAAAAATGTCTGAGATTATTTGACAACATGGAAAAAATGACTTCGAAAAGGAAGGACATGGTCACAAGCCATCTCTAGCACTCTTCTTGAAGAAAGACTTTCTTCATGAGCCAGTCAACAAGATTCTTACGGTTAACATAGGGAAGGCCCAAGAAGAATCAGTCAAGCATCTCACTGAACAAAAAGCCTCTGCCAAGCATCCACTCTAACATCCAAAACCCATAGCAACAAAAAGTAGAGTGTTTGAGGTTGCTGCCAAGGTCGCCAAGAAAGCCAGACTAAGTCATGTAAAATCAACAAGAAGCATCAATCAGAAAAATTCCAGATATCAAGATACGTATGTTGTATACTTCAAATACAAAATGTAAAACAAGAAATCTCGACAAGTGCATATTTTTGAAATAAAAAATGTACACATCTGAAACTCAATTCAAGTGGTCGAGACTACCCAAAATGCGCAGAGAGCGTCTAGAAGTCACAATTTTCTGGGGTCCTAAGGCGGGCCCTGGACCCCACGCTGTATTGGCATCGCATTGCGCACTTGCCGTGTCCGACACATAGGTTTTCTTCTTTTTTTGAAAATGAGAGTTGCATGCCTGATGCAGTCAAACCTCGTTACTAAGAAGTCCTTTGGACTTCGCGAATTACCTTGTTATAACAGGAACCTTGTGTTATCAGGAATCCTAACAATGAAAACAAAGGATTAGGACCTGGAATTTCCTTCTTTTAACCAGAATCTTGCAAAAGTGCTCATATTAACAAGGTTCAACTGTACACCTATCCATGAGGCAAGCAAGCTGGGTTTGAACAGAATGACATGCATTTCTTTTGTTTAGTTATTCTTTGGTGTTTGGTTTTCAAAAATTTGAAATTTCAACATTTTTCCTGTCCTACAACCTTTTCCCACAATCCCTCTGTTCCTTTCCTCTCTATTTCCGTGGGTATGTCCGCTGACCTAGAGCCTTTCTTCTGTCTGTTGGGTGATCACTATCATGAAAAGCTACTTGGAGCCTACTTTAAGGAAATATCAATGCATTTATGCCAAAAAGATGATTTGATGATTCAAATGATATGTATCTCCATTCAAATTCTTGGGCAAGTATTGAGTATGCTTGGTGTTTTTGAAAAACAGATTTTTTGTAATATGACAACCAAAGTTTAATTCTTGACATTGTGTTGTTACAACAAGCAAGCCTTAAAAATTATTTTGGGGTCCTTTGTCTTGTTAATCTGCAACAAGTGTAGAAGTGCCTAATTATCCTGAAATGTTCTCAATCATTGTTTTTCCTACTACATGAAAGTAAACTTGTCACCTTGAAATGATTTTTGAAATATTTTGATATACACGGCAGCTATTCAAGAATTCTACTTTCATGGAGTGCTATACATTAAAAAGTATATTGTTTCTGTTGAAAAAGTTGAATTGGTAGTGTTTTGCCAGCTAACACAGCCCACATAAATGTAAGTGCCAAAAGTGAAAACAGTTTGGGTTAGAAGGAAATAAGTAAATTGGAGTTTCTGCTTCACTGACCAAAACCACAATCTGCCCCCTTCTTCACAGAGTGGTTTGGAACATATAAGGGGCAGCAATTTGTGCTCAGCAAAGGCAAGATCGATTTCGCAACTAGGAGAAAAAAAAAGATTCTCCAGAGACTTTCAGACCTTGACTTTTGTTCTTGGTAAGGTGGGGCACGTTTCCATGAGTAATAAGCACTTCCATGTGAATATTTACCAGGATATTTCTGGGAGGGAGGGGCGCCAAAAAGACAAAGGTGAACAGAAACACGGACATAAACATCTGACTATACGGTTTTAAAACTAGCAAACAGGCTCATGAGGTACTTACATGGATTATCCACGTTGCTGCGTAGCTACATGTACCAAAAATGCCTTTTTCAAGTTAAACAGCTTAGTTTAGTTTTTTGCATAGTCTTCATGCCAGAATTACCCATCTACCTTCTTCCTGTTACCTGTTTGTGCGTGTTCAAGTCCATCATCGCTCTCTAATTGCCACGCGGAACAGAAGTATCAGGTGTATTGAAATCTCTCTCCCCCACTCGACCCCTTCTCATAGGTCCCAAGAAGAATGCACTACAGGCCATGTTGGCCAACTTGGAAGGGGAGGAAGAAACGCCCCCTCCCTCGCACAATGCCATGCCGGGGCGCCCTCGTGGGACGGATATCGACATGCCTGATGATGGAGGTAATATTCTTGAGATTGCCTGCGCAGCGGGCAGGCTTGAGTTAAAACGTGATGCTGGGTATTTCTTTAAAAAACGGCATGCACGCTGTGATGCTGTGTTGACATCAGATTCGTCCCGAACGCTAACCTTAAACCCCCCTAGGGACCGTCAAACTCATGCATAATCTTCTTGCTTTCAGAATGATTAGGGTTAAGGAATATTCTCTGTTTTTCCATTCTTGTTTTTGTTGCTTGTCTCGTGGCCACACTTTTCTCATCGTAGTACACTCCTATTTGCCCTCAGTATATCCATAATTCACTAATTTCCTATATAATAATGCAATTCAGTGGTCATTTCATGTGGAGAGAATTGAGATACTTGGGGATGTAGGTTTCTCAAAGTGATGCCCAAAGTTTTGAGAGTTAATGATTCATGTAATAACCTTCATATCATCCGCTGTTTCAGATAGATAATATGGACAAATGAAATTTTTAGCTGTCTAAACAATAGAGATGCATGTGTCAGTGCTTTGGAGAAAACTGAAAATAGAGTGATGATAACACAGCTTCATTTTAGATACCCTGCGTTTGATTGATGTGTGCCAGTAGTGTGTCGGATTGCGTTCCCTTGTGTACATGTTGTCAGGTGCTATAAAAAGAAAAAAGCTAATAAGTGAAGAGTCACTTAGTCTAAAACATTAAGAGTCCCGTGTTCTGTCCCCAGGGATGAATGAGTGCGGCTTTACTGTGAAACTTTGTTTTAATGGGGAAAAAATCGGACTTGTCAAACTATTAGCAAGATGCTGAGTCAGCCGTAACGCTGTGAAGTATTTCCTTTCACAGAGCCGCACATTTCCTCCAATTTCATCCCTAATCATTTCACTCTCTCTGTCTGGCTGTACCTCCATTGTACAGAGTTGGCGTTAAGCTGGTGGTTTTGAGAGGCATGTAGTCTCCTTTTCTGAAAGGTTTTCTTAATAACTTGTCTTTCTGAGGCAACAGCCAGAGGTGCTGTATAGGTCTTTATTGACAGGACTTGCATATTGATGACTTCATTTCTACAAATTTTGGGTTGTCAGACTATCGAAAGTTTAGATTGTTTAAATCAACTTTGAGAGAGAGGCATGTTTTACCCAGAAGGCTTCTTACTGAGGACTTCTCTGAAAAGCTTTTTTTACCTCTTGGACAATCCAAAAAGATCGAACAAAGCTGGTGCTACTCGTGGTCTGAGAGACATCAAGTTAACACTGGGAATATAGTGCCTGCAGACTGATTTTGTGACCGAAATGGCTGTACTGCACTTAGGCAGGTCATACACAGGTTACGTGATCTTTTGACCAATCAGGTGTTGCATGCACACCTCAAGGTACGAATGTGTGTGTGATCGCAGCTAAGACGTCTCTTTGGATTAACGTCCATGATGGTAAAGTCACCAGGTCCCTAATTTGGCCACCTGTCGTCAAGTCTGATTGGTTTTCATAGTGCATGTAAGTGGCGAAGTAAGGGACATGGCGACTATACTGTCAGGGGCATACTTCAAAGTTGTGCAAAGATATTTAGACTTTGTGACCCACATCTTAGGTCATGCACCTTGGCACCTGCCATTAATGAATGAGAGGGTTTAAATGGGGTTGTATCCAAACATTCAAGTGGGATAGTTGTTTGTGATTATTTCTGTCGTTGAAGTTCCTAAATAACCACTTCATAAAAGAACAAGAAAGGGGAAAGGAAAGATGTCTTCCCATTCAAAAGGAGGAATGTCACTGGATCCGTCCCCTCTCGATCTGTTTGTGACGTAGAAAGCACTGTGCCAGCTGACCTCAGGAATCCAAAGTTGCAAGATATTGGCGCTCTGCTCAGACAGTTAAATTTCAGCATTTGCCTGTCCACAGTGCCAAGTAAAACATGTACCAATCTCTCTATCGCTCTCTCCTTCTATGTAGTGGCAGAGGACATGCCCGGAGGCATGGGGATGGGTGGTCGACGCCCCATGATGGGAATTGGCGATGAGGAATCTATAGAGGCTGCCCTGGGCCTAGGGGAGCTAGCCGGTCTCACCATCTCCAACGAGGCAGACCCTCTAAGCTATGACGTGAGTACAGTGGCCGTGCTGAGCAAGGCCCTCGTGGAGTTGGA